GCATGCATGTATGTATGCAATTAAACAGCTTCAGAAAGCGAAAGCAAAAGCCATATCCTAGACATTTTAGTAGATTTGGATACCCCAGCTGGACACAAGAAGGCACCCCTATGAGTCTGTAAAGCACATAAGACTACCAGTGGGAGTATTAACAGTTCCCCTTCGGTTGGGGAACTTCAGTGCTATACAGTAGATTTGATCTTGGAAAATCCACGTATGGGAGGTCTCTCGCAGAGAAGACCCCCGTAATTGTCTCTCATGACGCGGTGGCTGGCAGCACCGTGGGAACGCATAACCTCATCATCCCGTTCCTCAGGGGTGCTAGGCGAATTAAACCACCCCGCCCCCTCTCATGCCCTCTTAGGATCTCGCCCTCGTTACACGAGCAGCGTCAGATTCCTTCGATCCTCGACTCAGTATCTTTTCTGTCCCTGAAGACAGCTCTGCTGGTCGCGTTGATATCGATTAAAGGGTCAGGGACCCAGAGGCATTTTTTCGGTCAGTGATTCGTGCCTGTAATTGGGCTGGCTTTCTCTCACGTTCTGAGACCCCACCCGCGATATGTGCCCAAGGTTTCTACCACTCCATTTTAATACCAGGTAGTGAGCTTGCAAGCGCTGCCCCCGGAAGAGGCAGACCCAGCCCTTTTTTTATTGTCCAGTTCGCGCCTTGCGTATTATCCGGACCGCACTCTGAGTTTAGCAGCTCTTCGTCTGTTATGACGGTCGGCAGCAGAGAAGTGCCGTATCGAAATTAAGTTTTGGTACCAAGTGGATTTTAAGTGTGGATGCCATTCTCTCGCTTATCAGAGCCGAGGTGAGCCGCATCTCCCGATAGTGCGTGCGCACTCCACTCTGAGCATCGCATCCTCTTCATCCTGAGCATCGCATCTAGAGCTGGGGGCTGGGCGACACCCAACACATTTGCAAGGTTACAATCTGCGAGTAGAGCCGGTTTCCTCAAGGGTATTAGGTAACCCTTTGGTGATTGAGGAAACAATTCGGTAGGGTGTTGAAACACGCTTGCTGCACCATTCTCCCTAACACGGAGATACGTGCGCCTTTTTATCTGTCAGTAAAGTTCCCCGTCAGGTGAGCCCTGCAGATTTCTCAGTGGCCCCCAGCACTGACTCAGCGGAGGAGTCACTTGCTGGCCCACCATGTTGTTGGTCTGCCTGCTGGTCAGCCCGCGTCTTGGGTATAGGTGCCTGCCATGCGTGATCACCACTAGGCAATCCCATATGCTTTTTCCGCCATGGTTAAGTCCCCCCCTGGGTGGACCCGTGTCTTTCCTCTCCGCTAACCACTTTTGCTATGTGCACTCCCCCTTCTTAGGGCTAGTCCATATGTAAATTCTGCCATCTTTCTCCCCCCTTGGGTAGCGGATGGCCTCCGCAGCGTTCTCCCTATCGGGATTGCACGCTTCCCAACGTATTGTCGTATTTCTCTAGAATTATCTAGACGCTCACGATTTCCCAAAAAATATATCTAAATCCGTAAAACTTCTGTTGAAGTAGGATAAATTAGGGCCAGGGACACGTTGGAGAACCGCGCCTCCCATGATGCTGGTGCGTCACGCTTGCTTGACTATCCCCTCATCGGGGACGTTGGTAAGGTGCAGTCATTATGCCGTTTTCCATAGTTCTTCCATACGTGGATTTTCCAAGATCAAATCCACTGTATAGCACTGAAATTCCCCAACCGAAGGGGAACGTTTGAGGTTACGGAAGTGCTATACTCCGTCGCCATAATGACTGTCCCTTAGCTGTTTGAAAGTCTCTTCAGCTTAAAAGGATGGCGTTTGCTCGCTCCAGGTGTGCTTATATGCTGGGATAATTGGCAATGAAGCACACCTGCGCAAGCTTACGCTTCCAATTCATTGCATTCATTGGCCCGTTCAATACTCTTTCAGACAATCGGCTTCTGAACCGAATCCTCCCATACGTGGATTTTACAAAATCAAATCCACTGTATAGCACTTCCGTTCCCCTCCTCGGGGAACGAAGGGTTACTTCTGTAATCTCAAACGTTCTCATACAGTACAAAACGGGTAAACGAGAAAAGATTTACCACTACGTAATCGATCACGGATGTTTCATTATAGTGGGCAGATACAAAAAGTATAAAAGGATAATGCAAAAAAAAGTGTCAATATACTTTGGCACTTAAGCAAGGAAAATAAGTATTGAATACATTTTTCAGAAAACATATTTTTAAAGGTGCTATTGACTTTTTTGTTTGTAACAACCAAAGAAATCCATATATGCATATGCATATATAAATGAAAAAAAAAAAAAACTTGTGTTCTGTGTTTTGTTATGTGTAATAATATTAAATAACACAGGGAAAAATGTGTTGAACACATAAAGAAAGAGAGGTGTGTAAAGGCAGCGAAAGCCCAGACAGCAGCTGAAATTTAGTTAAATAGCAACCCTCCGTCTTACGTTATTGTATATTAATATTAGCTGCTTCGGTCCAACATCTACATTGAGAGGATGATGAAGATGAAACACGGGTGGACAGCAAGGAAGACAATGATCCAAAACACAAATGTCTAGCTGTAAAATGGCTTAGCCAATCACTAGACTTGAATCTAATAGAAATTACAAAATAAACATCGGATTTGATAGATGAGACCCAAAGAACCATCAGGATATTTACACAGGAGTGTTCAGGTTTGATTTTCTTTTTTTTTTTTTACAGACTTCAACAATGCATGCAACTTCTCTCTCCAAATGAGAGTCGTCTTTAAGCTTCCATGTTAAAAAATAAATTTTTATAAAGTATTAAATGCATTTCAGTGCTTCAGTACTTTCTCCTTGTGCCATTCATTGTTACACAACAAATTTGTCAGATTCGTTTTGTTATTTTTGATTGTATTACAAAAAGATAATTTAACATTAATAATTTAACATTATAGAAAAAGGAAAAAAAGGAAAGGTTCTCTCTTCAGCTCTTTTCGCAACATCTAGTCCCATCTCAGTCCTCTGTGGTAAGCGGACACAGCTGGAGGATATATATATATATATATATATATATATATATATATATATATATATATATATATATATATATAAAGTGAAAGCAGATCAGACAAGGTGTGTTTGTGTGTCTATGTGAAGACAAAATTATTAGCCCTTCTGTGAAAATGTAATTCCTTAAAAAATATGTCCCACATTACACCTTGTCTGATGGTTCTGTCAAGAAGAAAAAGTTATCTGCTTTTTTTATGTTGCTGGTGTGAATCACGCAGAAAACATTTCTCCACTTGTCAGGCAGACCACTTTTTCCCCGTTCAAAGAGAACTTTCCTAAGCATTATTTGTAACCCATCTGGTATCCAATGTTAATTTTAATTTAAAATAGCATCTCATCTTTTGATTTCTGTCCATCTCATATATAGTTTTGACTGTCTTTAATGTACCCTGACATGCATTGCTTCGTGAACATTATTGAAAGAAACCATTCGTCATATTTAAATGCAGATCATACAACACCAATCATTACTGTTTTGTTTACATGTTAGTAGCTAAACAGTAACAGTAGCTAAATATTGTCAACAAACAACACTTTTACCTCAGAAAAGCCATTTTTCTTTTTTATATTACTACAGATTGTAAAAGAAATGTACCTATGGCTTTTTCTTTGTCAGACAATAGGCAGTCAATTATTGCCTCAGCAGATGGGACTACAGACGTCGGAGGGCAAGTTATCAATGCCTTCCACCTGGTCAGACCCAAGTGTCAATATCAGCCTGGATTTCCTGTCTGCAGGCCTGAACCCTTCCAAACCCACACAGCCCACACTCAATACCATGATGCAGCAAGGTTAAACATATCAACATTTTCTTTATGATTTAATAGTAACATGTTAACTGTGTTTATTGAAATTGAACATAACATAATATAATGAATAACCCTAATAATGTTTCTTATTTAGGTGTTCAGCCACCTTTACAGATGGTCACTCACAATTTTGCCAGAATGACACTCAATGCCCAATCTTCAACAGCTGCTCCCAAAAGAGGAATGAACCCCATGATGGTTGGAGTCACGCCTCCTACAATGGCGATGGGTACCACAGGAATTGGTTCTGTGGGTATTGGAAGCATGTCTGTCAATCAAGGACTAGTGGGCACAAATATTGTACCAGCTAAAATAGGCCTACAAGGTGCCCTAGGCATGCCCAGCATGGGTACTGGCCAGGGCATGAACCCCTCCATGGTGCAACCTAAACAAGATGCCTTTGCCAGCTTTGGCTACTTTGGAAAATGAAGATTAACCCCAAGAGTAAAACAGTCCAAATGCACCTTCTCAAATGAGGGAGCAGCATCCAGTTATATGGACAAAACTAGCCAGTGTCCCATCTCTTTTGAACAGTCATTTGTTCATGTACATTAAGAGAAAAACAAACACATCTGCTTTTATTTCATGTTCATTATTAATCAGAGAGTGTTTATTATTTTTTTTTTTGTAATAGATGCAAAGCATATTATTGTATACTTTTAAAGGAAAAAAACATTTTTTTAAAAAAGGATGCAGTTTGGTACGTTTTTCCACTTTGTTATTAACAAACATCAAAGGCTTGTTTTCATCATGGCCCTGTTTAACATTTCAAATACAATTCATAAGTGACCTCAAGATATGCATTATTTATGCTGTGACTTTAAAGTCCAAGAGGGGTTCATTTTGTACATATCATGGTGTAAATTATTTTTATTTTTTTTTCACTTTTCTGATTGTATAGGACAAATGACCACATCCTTAAAATTCACTGATTTACTGCTTTATTTATGGTTTGAATTCTTACATTTTGGCTGATATATATATATATAACAATCACTCTAACATGACCCCCTTTAGACTGTATCTGTAGATATAATTCCAGTATTTTTTTGAGATGGCCACCTTTTAAGTTATACAAATGTGTGAAGGTTATTAACAGTACTTGAATAATCCAAAACTTGTAATATGGAAAGTGTAAGCCATTACATTAGTAGAAGATTAGAAAGTTCAAGAAAAAATAGTTGAAGCCACACCACACATACGAAGTACACTGGTGGTTGCAGGAGTGGTGTTACACATTTCTACTAACTAATTGAACTAGTATTTACGTTGACAAAAAACAGTCATAGTCTTTATTTTCTTGCAATGTACGTTGATTTTCAATTCACGCATTGTTCCAGGTCAGTGTTACTTGTCCATCACATTGTTTGATGGCTTTAGAATTAATGAAGTATTGTGAACTCCAGATGAAGTTTATTTGGCCCTTTTTTTTCTATTTATTTTCCATTTCTCATCTGCTGCTTTAAACTTACCCTCCATCAGATGCTGAGGCTCATGACCAAATCTTTATTTTGTTACTTTTTAGATTTATTCCACAGGGGATTTGTTTCTTATTTGAATTATAAAGATGAATCCTGTGATCATTTACATTGTTTTAGATATACTGTAAGTGGAACACATTTCAGTTTTTGCTGACACAAAGAGATTAAGCGCCTGTTTTGTTGTGTTTTCTTTTCAGAATGCATTTTTGAATTTTATTGTACTAAAAACTTTAACATAAAATTATTTCATCAAAAACTTTGTCTTTGTGACTCTAATGGTGTTGTAGGTGTCCATCCTTTTAGCATTCAGGTAGTAGGAGGTTCACACACTTACCAGTTCTACGTAATTTGCTGTTTATCAAAGGTGGTTTTACTATCTTTAAATTTAGATTTAATAACATTCAATTTATACATTTTAATTAAAGAGGTAATTTCAAGTCCCTCTCTTCCAGCCAAATGTATTGCATGCCTTTTTATTAAGTTGGAAAATCTTAAGAATGACTGTAACTAATCACCACTAATTAATAACAGTTGCATTTCACTTTTTCCAATTAAACTCATTTCACTTCATCTTTATTTCTATAGCACTTTTACAATGTAGATTGTGTCAAAGCAGCTTCTCATAGAAGATTATAGTAAATTGAAATGGTGTCAGCTTTTAGAGTTTAAGTTCAGTTTAGTTTAGTTCATTTTAGTGTGGTTTAAATTTTATTGCTGAAAGCCCAAACGCTAAAGAGCAAATCCATCATAGCGCATCTCCACAAGTCTCTAACCATACAAGCCAGTGGGGAGGAAATAACTTTACCAATTAGCAAAAGAGAAGGATAAAAAAAACCTTGAGAGAAACCAGGCTTAATTGGGCACTACCATATGGTCAAACAACTTGTGCAGACCTACAGTCTAGGCGCCGGAGGCTGGAGAAAGCTGGACGTCCATCTTGAAGAAGCTGCAGGTGAGAGAGGACACCGGCTGGTGTACAGGCTGGCCCTTCAGGATCAATGCGAGGACTCCTCTGTCACTGGGATCTTACAGGAAACAGTCTCATGCTCTTCACTCCTCCATGACGACCACAGCAGCTGCTCAGGATACGGCCCGGTCCATTATTATGAAAACCTTGGGATTAATAAAAATAGACTGACATAAGCCCAGATGCCCTTTCAAAATAAAATGTCTTTAGGGAAGTGTTCATGGCTCCGGTTGCCCTAAATAATGCAGACAATCAATCCTTTAGAGGATTTGAATTTCAAAAGCATTTGTGTTTTGTGTATGTTAGTGTAAAGAGATGTGTCTTTAATCTTGTTTCAAGAGTTCACACTTAGATACTGTTTAACAACTTGTTAGCAAGTTAGCAGGTTTGGCATGCTGTCCCGGGAGAGAACCCTGAGCTCGGAGATAGTTGAGCCCAGGGCTAGCGCCAGTTCCATAAAGCATGTGAGGGGAGTACGAGGTCAGGTGTTCTCGAGAGCTCCCCTCGGCAAAAGAGGAAAGGAGGAGAAGGGGTGAATGGGACGTTAGGGGGGGTTGTGGGGCAAGAAAGGGACCGATCATAAATTTATTATCGATCTCTTTCTTGATTAGATGCTCCACCACGTCTGGTTCAGCATTAGCGGATTGTAGATTAGGACATGCGAGGTTATAGGAAGGAAGGGTCGAAACACCAGGGTGGAATCCGTTAGACAGACCTGAAATGAGAAATTTAGAAAAGTTAGGATCAGGGTGCAAGAAATTATGACAGGTTTGAGAAGAAGGAGTGTTTTGAGAGGAGGGAGGAGGAAGTAGAGAGGGGATAGCAGAAGTAGAAGGGCGGGGTACGTAGCTGGTGGATTTTGGGGTTTGTAGTTCTTTCTTGGCGGAGGGAATTACGAAGGGACAGGAAGTGGTCGGGTGTAGGTTAGAGCAGCAGACCGCGCATGACAGATTGCGACATCCTAAGAATACTCTGTTGTGGAGATCAGTGTCCAAAGCCCCCCAATAAGTGCACTGATTCCACTGAGTGACGCAAATTGCGCATTTAGCTGAGAATAATTTGTGATAAGTGTAGAAATGTGTTCCCCCATAGGAGGCGCCTCCTATGGGGAAAAACTGAGCAGATGGTTTCTGTGTATTGTGCGAAGGCTACGTGGAATTCGGCAATGGAAAGTGTGCGAGTTTGGGAACTAACTGGTGGTTTAAGGGTAATAGTGAATTCGCCGCAATCCACCTGTCGTTCTGCCGAGGGAGGTGCTATGGGTGAAAGGAGTGTAGAAAGGTCTATGTTGGCACCTGATAAGATGAGGTTTCTGATGGCATTGGAGATCGGGGGTGGTTCCAGGACTGGAGCATTTTGCAGAATGGGAAGGGGTGTGGCAGTGCTTAGAGTGAAGGGGGGCCTTGTGGAAGAGATGTTAGTACGGAGGGTAGACTGTTGGGGAGGGTTAGTAATGACGGTGGGTGCTTGGTGGAGAGATGTAGAGGGAAAAAAGGGGGTATTAGAAGAGGGGAAATTAGTAGGTAGAGGAACGGCGTTAAGGATCGTAGTTGAAGAAATGGGAAGGTTAGAAGGGCGAACAGAATGGGGAGGGTTGAGAGAGGGGGAAGAGCTGGAATGGAGTTTCCGCTGGAATGTGGAGCTGGAGGCCAGAGGAGGGGAGTGGGAAGTCCTGGGGTGGCGTAATTTTCCTGTGGATTATTTGTATTTTGAAAGGTAATGGTAGCGGGTGCAGACTGTCCAGTAACTTGAGGTAGTTTTTTATTGGTTTTCCTGGTTGCTTTCTTGGGTGGTCTGGGGTGGTTTGTTGCTTGCTGTGCAGAAGTAGGTTGAGGATAGGGGGTGTGGTGGGAGCGAGTTGGTCTGCTTTCCTGAGGGGGAGGAGTTGGTGATGGGATAGGCTTCGTAGAGCTTCAGTAGGTCGGCTTTGTTGTAGCTGTTGGGGATGGATATACCGGCGTTTGTAATGGTCTGACGGAGTTCGGCGACTGTCATTTTGTTTGAAATGAGGGATGAAGATCTTGCTGATGCATATGATGAAGCTGGAGAAGGTAAGATGCGGTTTGGAGTTATGGGTGATGGAGATTGTGTACGGCGATGGGTCCTTGAAACTGTAGAGTGGATGGGTCTTCTGCCTCTTATGGGAGCTTCGATGTTGGTTTGGTTTCCGGTTGGAGCTTGTTGTCCTTGTGCTGGTGTTCCTAGGGGAGCGGGTGTATCGGCTCTTTCCATGATGTTGTTGTTGGTTGTTGATGACGTGTCCGTTGAATTTTTTGGGTTTCTGCTGTTGCTGTCGTTGTTGTTGTTGTTGTTGCAGTAGGTTGTTGTTAATGAAGCAGGCGATGGTATAGTAGATGTAGAGATAGGAGAGGATTTGAAGAGCTGGGTCCGTCCTTCTATGCTTTCCTTCGGAAAATGAAGATAAGGGAGTAGATCTTAGCTAGGTTACTTATAGTGAGTTTGGATCAATCCGATTGGCTAGCCAATGAGTGTAGATGAGTGGCAGGCTGCAGTCAATCATATCATGTGCTCCTCTCGAAATTAGTTTGTGAAACTTCATTTAAACTGACAGAGTGTGTCTGCTTCCCGAGCTGTGCTAGGAAGGCTGTTCCAGAGTTTAGGTGCCATATACTATACTGTCCTATAATATCCTATACTGGGATTAATCAGTTGTCTAGAACTAATTGAGCATAGTGGACGTGAGGGGCCATATTACACCAGACGCTCCCTCAAATACTGGGGAGCTAGGCCATTCACGGCTTTGTAGATAGTCAATATATATTTATTTTTGTACAATATTTATTAGGGAGCCAATGCAGTGAGGAAAGAACTGGAGTTGTATGATCATATTTCTTTGTTCTACAAAGCACTAATGGGCACAAATATTGTGCCAGCTGGAATAGGCCTACAAGGTGCCCCAGGCATGCCCAGCATGGGTACTGGCCAGGGCATGAACCCTTCCATGGTGCAACCTAGCACTCTTAGCAGCTGCATTTTTAACTGAAATTTGTTAATTAGGCCAACAGGGCAACCTCATAGTAACGCATTACAATAATCTAAACGAGAAGTCGTGAAAGCATGAATAATCTTTTTCGCATCAGACATAGCATATGTCTAAGTTTGTCAACATTTTTAAGATGAAAAAATGCAGTTTTACATATGCTTGAAATTTGGCCTTCAAATGACAGGTTGCAATGAATATAACCCCAAAAATTTTGACTGAAGATAAGGATTGAACTAAGAATCCATCAAGGGTTAGACAGTGTTCTAGGTTTTTGCATGTCAGGTTTTTGGGTCTAATAAGCAAGACCTCAGTTTTATCTGAATTTAGTAATAAGAAGTTATTATTTTTAAAAGAATATGAGGAAGAAGTTACTTGAGTTTTCCTGTTGTGTGAAGATTTAGTCCTCACATGGGGCACCAAACCTGTAGTAATAATTGGTTGGAATATAAATAGGGCCCTCACAGGCACCAAAACTGTAGTATGTCCGAGTTCTCTGAAATTTAAAAAGAAAACTAATACCAATATTAAAATAAAGAACACTCGAGGTTACAGAAGTAACCCTTCGTTCCCTGAGGAGGGGAACAGGAGTGCTGGATTTGATGTTAAAATCCACGTATGGGAGGATTTGGTTCAGAAGCCGCTTGTCTGAAAGAGTATTGAACGGGCCAATGAAAGCAATGAATTGGCAGCGTAAGCTTGCGCAGGTGTGCTGCATTGCCAATTAACTGAGCATATAAGCATACCTGGCGCCAGCAAACGCCATCCTTTTTTAAGCTGAAGAGACTTTTAAACAGCTAAGGGACAGTCATTATGGCAACGGAGTATAGCACTTCCGTTCCCCTCCTCGGGGAACGAAGGGTTACTTCTGTAACCTCGAACGTTCCCCTTCGGTTGGGGAACTCCAGTGCTATAAGTGGATTTGATGTTAAAATCCACGTATGGGAGCCATTGAAAGCGCCATAATAACTGCACCTTACCAATGCCTCCGATAAGAGGGGAGTCAGGCAAGCGATACGTACCCAAATCATGGAAGGCGCGGTCCTCCAACGTGCCCTTGGCCCTAACTTATCCCCACTTCAAAAGAAGCTTTACGGAATAGGTATATTTTTTTGGAAGTCGCTAGCATCTAGATAATTCTAGGAAATACGACAGTACGTTGGGAAGCGTGCAATCTCGGTAGGGAGGACGCTGCGGAGACCATCCGCACCCAATAGGGAGACAAAATGGAATTACATATGGACTAACCCTAAGGAGGGGGAGTGCGCATAAGAAGGTGGTTAGCGGAT